CATATTGCATCTATGGTGGCCCTGCATCCACTGTCATGTGCTGGGCACAAAATAAGGACCCTGTGTGCGGTGCAGAAGCCTCCACTGCATGCCAGACTTGTGACTTCTGCCACAAGTTGGCCCTGTTTATCTCACATTGGAGGAAGCTCATTACAGGGAGCGTTGGCTCTACCCACATTAGACAGATTGATTACACTGGGACTTTGATCACCCCTCTAGTGGCCACCAGTGGTGCTTTACCACCGTAGACACTTTTTCAGGTTATGATGTTGCTGTTCTGGTCTGATCAGTGGACTCGGTGCACACCATTGTGGACTTTAAAAGTAAGCTGTCATATGTTTGGCTTCCTGAAACATTTCCAATTTGACAAAGGCTTTTGTAACAATGGACTGAGAGTCCAGATAGTCAGTGAATTATCATCCACACACATCTGGTATTGTTGCGCTCTGAAACGCCCTCCTTAAAATTCAATTCACAAAGATTTCACACTGTACCTCTCTCACCTCCTCCTGGCCCGCCCACCTTAGTAAGGCAGTTTGGTTGCTGTGATTCATGTCTTTGTTATGTGTCGGCTTTGCTAGAATGAACTACATTTCCCAGAATTCCTGTAGCTCACTGTTAGCCTCTGCTAGTGGCGGGTTGAATTTTCATCAGTGTCAGAGCCACAGCAGCCTTGGTGAGGGGAAGGCCATCCTCTCGAATCCATGCATGGACTCCATTGTACCTTTGACCTTGGTGTTATAACACCGTGCTCTAACCAACTCAGCTAACCGGCCAGGCCCACCTTTTGTTTTAGTATTTTGGTGGTGGAGGTGAGGCGGGAGCAGTTCTGTCAGCCTGTCTCACTATAATAGCCCTTATTCTCTGGGTCAGGGAAGAACTGTGGGGATTCTGCCAGTCGTGAAGTGTATTTGGTGTGACTGGGGAAATAACCACAAGATTAGTTCAAGGTCCCACCTGATCCACCGTGAGATGGGCTCCAGCCAAAACTCTATCTAGTGACCTATATAAGCCCCTCCCCTCCCAGTGGATCATGGGGCACTTGGCTCTCCAGGGATGAGGGTCAGATAAGAGCCGGTGTCCACAATGCAGTCTCCAGTGGAGTGAGCACAGGCTTTGAAAACGACCAGAACCCAATTCCTGCCCTTACTTTTATCCAGGTGTTTTCTGGGGGGCGGGGGGAGGGAGTTGGGGTTCTTTCAGCTCCCTGAGCCTGGTTGCTCATCTGTAAAGTGGAGCTAAAAATAGTCATCTGAATATTGTGAGGATATGGTAATAGTATACACATCGAGCATTTCATACGTTGCCTGGAATACAGCCTAACAACCAGCAATATAACCAGAGAATATAAACCTCAGTCATTACCATCATCACTTCATCAACATTTTAATAACTCACTTTCCATAGTGTTCTTGATTTTTCTAATTCACTTTCAAATGTTTACATCATTTAATTATTCATAATATTTCCTGGAAGTAGGTTGAGATTTTGGACACCAAGTCAGATTTGGGTCGATTGTCATTTTAATGTTAACTTTTCCTTTTAGTTTTATCATTTAGATATTTGTACCTTTATATTTAATTTACACCTGTCCTTCCTTTTTTTTTTTTTTTTTTTTTTAAAAANAAAATAAACAAATAAATAAAAAAAGAAAGAAAGTCACAACAGTCACAATAATCTGTTGAACTTTCAAAAGGAGAGAACTGAACCGAGGCCACCAGAGGCGGGAAAGGGGCAGTGGGTGGGGTTAGTAAGAAATTGGTGAAGGGCCACAAACGTGATTACATTGTGTTATGCTGAATGTACTAACTATCCCGATTTGAGCATCACATATTGCACACTCGTTGATATTCAACAATGGATCCTACAAATATGTACAATTACGTTTTTATTTTTTTTTTTTGTCTTTTTCCTTGACGGGTAAGGGGATCGCAACCCTTGGTGTGGTGTCACCCACACCGCGCTCAGCCAGTGAGCGCACCGGCCACTCCGATATAGTATCCGAACCCGCGGCGGGAGCGCCGCTGTGCTCCCAGCGCCACACTCTCCTGAGTGCACCATGGGCTCGGCCCCAATTAGGTTTCAATTAAGGAAAAAAAAAAAAAGAAAAAATTTTAAGTTTCTTAATCAGATATCAAAAATCTCTATTTGGCCAAGTTCCATTTACACATTCATCTTTCAAAGAGAGATTAAAAGGAAAAAGAACATTTGGAGATGTTGTTATTGTTGCTGTTTTCCACATATGCAGTCATTTACTTAGGTTC